CTTTTGCTACAGTACTGTTAATTTGCGTTGGCTTTCTTAAAAAGTTGAAGCCACGATATTGAGGCCTTGAACAACTGAATCTTGGCTTGCCACAAGGTGGCACTGAAGGCCCACGAGCACTTACACACCCGTCCATGAAGCCTGGAACAACTGCATTGTCTCCCGAGATCGTTAATCCTAATATCATGACCTAATGATATTAGAGCACAAGGCTACAAGCAGAGATTAGCCCCACATGCACTATTTGTAGCACACAACAAGTAGTATTTAGATATAAAACATGCGACCGTCTGTCATGTTACCACAAAGCAATGTCTGAAATGTAGTCACCTCTCTTGACATCCTGGGGGAGAAAAGACACAAGAGCTACGTGAATAATTTAACCGTAACGGTCGTGCCACTACACCTTTGTAGTTTCACCTTTTGTAACTTACAGTAAATACAGGAACTACAGAGAAAATACTATACTACAGTAACATCTGTTTAGTTATCTTGGACAATAATAAAATTTAGTCACAACCATTGCATCTAGAACACACAGGCAATATCCCCTCTCTATACATTATTCTTAAATGTAGAGTCTAAAATCACGATTTGTTTTTAAAGAGTCAAGATTTCTTCTAACAGGCTGAAAGGTTTTAGCACTAGTACCTATAATTGGCTTTATTTCTAGGCATGTAACAAGCTTCCAAATAAAAAGATGGCATGAAACAGTATTAAATTATATGCATACGCTTTCAGTTTCAAAACAAGAGGCAAAAACTACACAGGGCACAGTACAACTGACACTTTATTCCTTTGTGATGGGGATATATAGTATTGAAACTGCGAGAGTCACAGAAAAAAAATCAAAGTGCAAACCTCTATTAGAACAGATTATGGAATGTATTGATGTTTTTGGCACAAAAAGTGGGGAACTATATACTGCAACAAGATTTTAAGTTTAATGAAATGTAACGCTTCTGCGCTCAGTAGTCATATTTGTGCACTGCAGAACAATACAATGTAAAACAGTGACTAACACGATTCACATGCAACTCTATACAAGTTACATCATACGTCCAGTTAAAACTTTTCTGAAAATACATGTGAGGTCCAAAGGTACTTTGTTCATAATCACTTAACAAATACCATTCTTTAAGCAGTCTTATCTTTTCAGCTTCCTTATTGATAAAAGCAAAAATGGAGAATCTTAAATAGCAAATTATTTTCCCCAAATGGTTCCGTGTGAATGTTGATGTTTTCTATCAAAGTAACTTGGCTCTGACTTCATTGATATAATGTATTAGAAGCTGAATGAAATCAAAAGCTCTTTTTTTTCCCCATATGTCATCCCCAATTTGCTGTGAACAAGCAGCGTTCCGTGCACTGACTTTTTATTTTTAAAACTGGACATTGTGTTGCCTATGAGCTCTGTACCTATCACATGGAAATCACCAAAAAAATCAGAGCATAGCTTCATACAGTGGCATCTATTTAAGACTGAAAAGGAGCACATTAGCATGGAAAAGACAAAAATGCAGAAATGGAAGAATTCAAGTTTATCTTATAAGGTACAGTATGCATTCACATTTTCAATGCAGAGAGAGACACTGTATTCACATTCTGGTGAAGAAAGAATCCCACATATCGCCGTTCTCCCTAAACTCTTAGCACAGATAACATCCATGAAAGACCTATAATGCACATTGGAGCTCTTTCATTTGAACTGAGCTAAACTGATTGCTCAAAGGGAAAAAAAAACCTTTGATGAGTAATTCAAGCCCCACTGCTGAGCTATTAACCACAAGAACTGCTGCACTGGCCTGTTATGTCATATAGCCTGACAGTTGTTATCAAGTGTTTTATGTGGGCAGCTATTAGTGTTCAGTGTCTCATCTCCTTTTTTGGTTTGGGATTTTATTTTACTATTTATATTAATCAAGGATGATGATATATATCAGGCATCTGAGAAATGTTCTGGTGACAAGATGTACAGGATGCCCATTAGATGCATATGTATCACAGCAGAAATGTCCTCACAACTGAATTCTTCGTTTGGGCAACAGAAAAAATAGCAAACAGCGAGAACAAGAAGCATTTGGCATGATTTTAGTTCCTAGTACCATACTGCAAATGCACAAACTGAAGTGCTCTTAATGTTTTTGCTTTATAATGCCAGAATAATGCTAAAAGCGGAGAGGTGAGGGCAATCCCACTAACCAGCTTAGGTAACTTTCGGCATCAGGCTAAAATGTAATTTAGAGCGTCTATGTTAGGAGGCTATGGTACCTACTGAGACCAACAGAGAGAAAGCAGGTGTGATTTAGAGCACCTAAATTCTGTGCCTGAAGTTAGACAGTTTGAATACAACTTGAAATCATCACCTGAGGGAATTCAGGTCCCTCAGCCACTCCCTTGCTCTTTCTGTATACCAAAATGCAGCCTTGAAGACAAGGAAATCTAAATGGCAACAGGTGAAAGACCAACCTCTCTGGCAACGCAGATGTTTCTCAGCTCTGACATCCCAACTCCCCGCCTCTGCCTCCCTTGGGGGGCCAGGGGAATTCATTGTCACCTATTCTATTGCTTTCAGGGACACAAGATATCAACAACGTCCACCACAAATGTTTCTCTTTTCTGGAGTAATCCTAAAGAAGAGGAGTCACCCTTGTCACTCTCCGGATCTACAGCTCCTGTTGACAATCATCCTTCCAGCTCAAAAGAAGTCGCTCAGAGCTGAAGTGGACCCCTCAGTTTCTCCTCCCTCCTGGCACCTACTCAAGGAGGGAGCGAGTTTAGGATAGTCCACCGTGGGTTGGGGTACTTTGGAGTGAACAGCGAAGGGGGAGGAGTACAGAAAAAGAAGACTCAAGTAGGAGAACCGAGGCAATGGAAGGCAAAATCATTTGGGGTTAAAAGAGAAAACTGCTTATCATGCCATAAACTAGAAACGAGAGTCTGAGGAAGAGAGAGACAGGTGAAAGGTGAGAGAGGGTGGAAGGAAAAAGAAAACAACACAACAGAAAGTTTGAGAGATAAATTGACTAGAAATCCCACAGCCTAACACTGTCTCAGTGTAGCTGGATGCTCTGGCTCCTTAGCAAGAGGAGGGAAGAGGGACTGAAGGACATGGGTGGGGGCCAGGCCCCAGGAGGTGCATGGACAGGTCGGGGGGATTCTGTTCCGTCTTTGTACGGCAGCTCCCACGGCTGCGTAGGTTTTTAACAGAGTACAGCTTGCCTGTAGAGGGTCACAGTTAAATACCGCAGGGCCACTTTTTGGCACAAAATCTTTGTTTAATATCAAGTCCTTTTAAAATGCAAGATGCTTTATCAGATATTTTAAAAGCACCAAGGGAAGGTAGAAAAAGAGATTCCCCACTGCAGTGTTTACATCCTTAGAGCTTGATCACCTGGGTCAGGCTTAAATGATGGCGCATGGGAATGGAGGAGACAAAGGGGAAACATGAGGAGAACCCTTTGGGATAGCACGCAGCCATAAAACCAGCACTTGCTGTTTGGCTGGCTAAAGACTTCCTTCGGGACATGCTCTCTTTTCACATACATTATATTTGCTCATCATTGCTCTCTCCCTCGTGATACCTCGTGTCATCACAACATACAGTGTGCCCACAAAGCATCAGATGTATTCCGGTAGCTGCCAGGAGGTTTCCTCCTCATTAGCCACTGAGATGAAGTGAGAGAGACGCTGAGGAGTACCTACGGATATGAGTACTTGTGTTTCCTCCCTTATGACTGCACAAAAAAGCACGCAGGTTTCCAAAGGATATCCCAATTGTGTGCTCGGTTAATACTGTTTGCTTTCCTGCAGACCACATTACCTGAGCCCCCCCCCGCAGCTCGCTTCCTACTGTCCCTTAGCAACACGCCACAAGTGGTTCAGGAAAGGTGGAGGAGATGTCTAGGAAGTTGATAACGTGTTCAGACTATTTGTCAGTCTCTGGAGAGTTCCCACTACTGCCTCTGTTTGGGAATTTCTCCATCCTTAGTTTACAAATGATTTAACAAGAAGCATGTGAATACAATGGGGTATGCTTCACTTTGGTGAAAAAAAGTATGACTCAGTGGGTAAACATGTTGTGGAATTTGCTACAAAAATTATATTTGTTTTAACTGAATACCACAGTAAATATTCATGCAATTAAAAAAAATAAGATGGTTATTGTTCCAAGGAAAGCTGCCCCAAGGGCAGATAAAGTACAAATGCCAATCTTTCAGGAAAAAATAGCTTCATGAGCATAATCCAGGAATAGCTGTCCTTCAACTCCTTCTATCACCCTTTTCTTTTGAATTTTGCTAGTAAGTGGCCTCTAAGAGAGGAGAAAACAGAGAGACGGAAATAAATTTTTTAAAGTAATAAATAAAAAAGTAAACAAAGAGAATTAAAAACCCCCACATTTTAGATTACTTTTGTAGGTTTAACTTTTCCAAAAGCATCTCAGTCTTTCATTTTTGTGGTCCGGGTGCTCCCTGGGATCTGGCCTTTTTAAAAACTCCTCTTCCATTCTCACTACATTGAAAGTCACAGCCTTAGCAGCAAACTGGGACCTGAACTTGCAGGATGTTATCTTGTGTGGCTGCACTACTCTCTCTTTTTCTGTCATTCAAGTTTCCCAGGCAGACATTGCCCTTGAACGCTCCCGTCGGAGGAAGCTTTTTCCGAAGTTGCTACCTGGCGTCTGAAACTGATTCCAGCCACAACTCTGCCCAGCAGCAGCAGCAGCAGCAACATGATATGGCCGAGACAGTGAGCACAGTCCATTGCCCACTGCTCCAGCTAGCGTACAGAAAGCTTCCCTGCCACACAAGATACCAAGTTCATGAGCCCACTGAGTCTTCTTCTGTCCCCCTGATACCTTGCATCACTGAAAGTAAAGAGGACCGAGGAAGGAAAAAAAGATGCAGAGCAAGGAAGCAAGAGAAAAAAGACAGCAGAAGGGAACAGTGTAAAGACAGCGGAGGTGCTTGAAATGTTGAGAATTAGTTGGTTTTCATAAAATTTTCACACAGACATGTTAAATCACTAAAGCTAGGGGTTAGCCATTATAATTGTCTTCTGCTAGCCCATGGGACTAACGTACTTCAGAGTTATGTGCCCCCCAACAAACCGTACATCCACCTTAAATACCATCTGCAAGGACATAATAAAAATACACAAAGCAAAAAATTTGTAAACAAGGGTTAGTAGCACAGTGGTACAGTAGATTGTCAATAAAAACAATAAAAGTGTGGATACAGATTCGTCTACCTTGTGTGTAACATTATTGCCAGTTACAAGGGAGGGACTCTGTAAACTCATAATTCTGAAGTTTTGTTAATAAGCACAGAGCAACAGGTGAGCGCCCCGTCTACTTTCTCCAGTTCTGTGTTGGCTATTGGGATCAGCATGTGGTCCTTCAGTTTTTCAAATACCTGTTTAGGAAAGAAAACGGAACAGAAATCATTATACTTTACGCGTCTCTATTTTCCCTTTTCTCTAAGTATTTACAGAATGAACAGGCATGGATGTATCAGCGGGTGCTAAGCTGTCTCATCATTTCTAATCACTAACATTTACAGCGTACGTGGCCTTTTGGCTATCGGATTCACGCACATCAATACTGCAGCGAGGGGAACTGTTGCTACGTCCAGTTATGCAGAAGAAGCGCCAGGGGCACAAGAGACAAAGTAATTGCATCAGCAGCGCAGACGAGAACAGAGCCCAGGCCTCCCACCTTTCACCATCTGGTATTTCCATGATGGTGTACAACAGCCCATTCTGGAAAGCACCTGATTTCAGTTCCCACTGACTTCCCGGCGAGGCCGGGATGCTGGGGGTCTCCCCGGCACCCTCAGCGCGGCTCTCACCTTCGCGCTCTCCGGGTACTCCTCGGGGGCTCGGTGCAGCAGGACGTGGCCTTTGCTGGGAATGTTTAAGTAGATGCAGTTTGCTGCGGCATCGTCGGGCACCGTCAGCTTGTCGTAGCGGTGGTCACTCATCTGTTGCATGGTCTGTCGGGAAACACAAAGCGCAGCTATTTAGACCAAACACAGTAGCAGCCCCAAACAAATGGGAGAACAGAGCCTTCAAAAAATAGCTAATTGCGATTGCCAAGTCAGCCAGGAGCCATTTTGCTATGCAGCAAGTAAGGAGATCTCTTTTCATCTCTGCCTTCCCAGGAAGAATCTACTAACCCTAACTGAAATGAGCAGTAGAAAACCTTTGTGAAATGGTTCCTGCAAGTGGCAGGATTAAGCAGGGCACTCAGTAAGCATCGTCCGTGGGGTCTTTTCCTTAAGGAATGTGCATTGAGTACGGAAAACTCCTGCTTGCATTGATGGAAACTATAGGTGCTCAGCACCTTCAAAAAAAGCAGCCATCATTCAATATTTACAAAATGAGCGTGAATTAACACAAACAGGACAGGAACAGTTCCCAGCTTGGATATCAGCCCAATCTTAATTCTTTTCAAGGACCTCCTTTCTGCTTTCCAAGCAGTTACTCTTTCACTAGGCACCTGTGCTGGGGAGCGAGAAGGCACGTCTGCGCTAATCCTCATTCCCAAGGGAACAACACAATAACCTTCTCAGAACAGCAGAGCTGGTGGGTTTCAGAAGTTTGGTTTATAAATATAGGGCTCATACACAAATTTGGGTCCTGGCTGTAATTTCAGAGACAGAGACTCTCGGCACACAAGAAGCCTGAGATCCCATGTTTTGGATCAGGCTCAACTTTTTAATAAAGATGGGAAAAGCCTGGAGACAAGACGCCTGACTCCCCACTGTACCAGTCCAGCTTTACATCAGCTTCACCTTGACAGAGACCTAGAATAACGCAGAAGTGAACAAAGCTCCAAGACAAAATCTTTGGTCCTACTGAGAGCCTAAGCAAATTCAAGTGTTGCAGCTTCTCTCCTAGCCCCGCTATGTTCCCACATACATTGCAAAGATGCAAACAGAAAGAAAAGGCTTTTTTTCAGCTTAAAAATACACTAATATAATCTTAGAAATAAACTGGTATTCTGATAACAAAATTTTTCAACAATTTTTCCCTTCTCAGCGAAACGCCACAGATTTACATCACGTAGCAGAGAGCAGACCTTGATTTTAGGCACAGTTAAATTAATCTTTAAATTATTTGCAAGTGCATTTGTACTACTTCTCATTCATTAAAAAAATATTATATGGAACTGAATTATAACGAGGATCTACAACATACTGGGAAGCAACAAAGCAACTCACGCTTGCACACACCTACAGTAAGTAATTCCTTTATAGGTCTGGATACATTTTTCATGTTGTAGCCTGAGTCATCCACATCCCACGGAGAACATGAAACTCGCAACGAAGAATGCCGTGCATTCTTGAGGAAGTGTTATCAGACTGTCATTTCTTGTTCCTTCTGCAGTTATGAAACTTTCCCGAGTTCCCAAGGTCACATCTACCTCCATAAAAGGTTAATATGTTTTTCTGGGAAAAAATCCTTGCACCTTTACTTCACCGGATGTATTTTTATTACTGACCTTACCATGGTTGACTTTCCTATTTATAATTTCGTTTCTGTTATGTTGCCAAGATGTATTTTATAATGCTTTCCTTGATGCTGCAGACATCTAGCAGCAGGTGAGCGACATGCTTGCACCCAGTGCAACTCTCCTCCCTGGTAACCAGAGCCAGCAGACTCGTCCTCTACCTGCAGCTTCTCTTTTCTTCCCTACATAATCTTTTTAAGTCTGGATTAAGGAAACACATTTATTAAATCTGCACTGAAATACACGTAGAGCAAAAGCCACCATGCCTGGATTTCGCTCAGCTCCCAAACAGTTGTGCTTTCTCCAGTCCTTGTTGGCAACAGAATCCTGATATTGTAGGTTTTCTGTAGGAACAGTTCATTCATCAGAAATACATTGTGAATCACTGTGTAACATTTCCGTATGAAATTACCAATGAATTCTTAAGCAGAAGGGTATGGACACATCTCCCATTTGTTCATTTCTGCAAAATGCTGAAGTGAGAACACCAGCAGCAAGCAGAAATGAAGCACAAGTGGCAGGGCTCTAGCTGTGCCAGCACGAGGCACGAACCAGCGTTGGGAAGCCTGGGACATGATGGAAGGGCACGTTAGGAGCATTGTTTTCAAGATTAAAAAGCACAGAAGTGGTGGCTGAATTAATTCAGAAACAAATGAGGAGAAAAAATGAGTGGGAAAGTGAGATAAAGCAGCACAGGAGTTTGAATACACAGCTGCGACAGTGGGAATGGGATCTCAGCTAGCTCGAACACCACCGCAAGAAAGCACGTATTAGTTACTGGAGGCTTGACAATACAGGATTACTCTCTTCCTCAGCTTTTAAGATAAGATGGATGAAGCATTGGCGGATGAAGCGTTCTACAAGCGGCTGGCACAAGTCTCTCAATCGCTAGCCCTTGTTCTCGTGGGGGACTTCAACTTCCCGGACGTCTGCTGGAAATACAACACGGCAGAGAGGAAGCAGTCTCTTCCTGACGCAGCTGGTAAGTGAGCCTACCAGGGGAGGTGCCTCGCTCGACCTGCTCTTTACTAACAGAGAAGGACTGGTGGGAGATGTGGTGGTCGGAGGCCGTCTTGGGCTTAGCGACCATGAAATGGTAGAATTCTCCATTCTTGGTGAAGTAAGGAG